AAACAGCTAAGACATATTGAGAACTTATCCCAAGTTTTCCGCGTTTTCCATTCATGTTTTTCATTTTCACCAGTTTTAATTTTATTCTAACTATCCTCGTTTCCCTTTCGGTTCATTCTTCTCCCTTCGTAGTTTGTTTTCCTCAGGAAACTAATATTCATAGGTTTTCTTCCAATCCGATGAAAAAAATTTTTTGCGATCAGAGAAGCAACTCATGACAATACCTTACGAAAGAAGAGAAACTTATAAGAACTAGCGGTCATTTCTTGCGTTTCGGTTTTGTTGTATTTTGATGTCGGATTAAGCCGTTCACCTAATGTGTTTTTAGAAAACAGGCAATTCCCCCTTGATGATATGTTAAAATATTAAACCAGTTTGATGCTCAAGACAAAAGTCGAAGCGGCAAGAAAATCTGCCTCTGGACCTTCTGGAACTTTGACCCATCACACGTGAATTCTAGAATATCATCTCACACCGTGCCAGTATGGCCCGTCGAAGCGGACAAAAATACTTGTGTATGGATATATAAGACTTGTTTTGTAAAATGTACGACTTGTTGCGAAAACATAAAACTTGTTTTGTAAAATATACGACTTGTTGCGGAAATATAAACTTGTTTTGTAAAATACAAGACTTGTTGCGGAAATAAAAGACTTGTTTTGTTAAATATGCCACTCGTTGCGAAAATATAAGACTTGTTTTGTAAAATATAAGACTTGTTGCAGATAACACTTGTTCGCGGTGAAAAATAATAATTTAAGGGCGCCCACTGTCTGTGGTCAGCTGCTTTGCAGCAGAGCGCATGCTGATTTCTATTGGTAGTTGTCTGTTTGCAGTGACGAGTGCGATGATAAGTTGAGCAGAGTTATTCCTCTGCCACAAACAAGTTTCGTCTTAAGTCCTCACAAATTTGTTTTCCAAGTTCTAACACTCCAAGAAAAGCTGCTAACTCATCCGCCATCTTTTTTGAGGCTTGAAGAGCGGTGGGCTGTGTTCCACTTACCGCTGAACACTCAAATCGCTGGCGCTGTTAAGGTATTATATTCATACAAAGTCGTATATTTTACAAAACAAGTGTTATATTTTCGCAACAAATCGTATTTTTTTAACAAAACAAGTTTTTATTTCCGTAACAAGTCATATATTTTACAAAACAAGTTTTATGTTTTCGCAACAAGTCGTATATTTTACAAAACAAGTCTTATATATCCATACACAAGTATTTTTATCCGCTTCGGCGCGCAATACGCCAGTTCCGAACGACATGATCGAAAAACGAAAATAAGCTCTTTTGGTCTGGTAAATAAAGATAAACGAAAACGAAGAGTATACGTGATATTCCTTCGAATTATTATGCATTCAGTCTCAGCAAGGTCCGATCAGGAATACATTATCTAGTATTGGTGCCATTTTTTACCATTTGGTTCATGACTGCTACATGTCGTTATTGCGATCTTTCGCAATTTTCCCGCAAGAACGTACAAAATCATGAAATACCCTCGTATTGAGTGTTACTCTTTGGTCAGCGCCGAAAAAATCTCAAATATGCCCACCTTTATCGAACTTATGGCAAGAACGTGTACCGTTAGGTGTATTTAATTCCCAAGATCAACCAAAAATAACAATAAGCAAAAACAATCGAAACTAAGTAAATAAATGAAAGAACTTAACTGTGTTTTATGGCAATGCTCAGCGCGAATTATCGGAATTTCGTCCGTAAACAAACGGAAATTTTGGTTGCAATCTCAACAACCTCAGTTACTTTACAAAAACACTTTCCGAGCCAAGTATAGGTTTCAGAGCTTATGCGTACTTATGAAATATGGCTGAGAACTTTAAGGTTGACTCCCGGTTAGCTCAATTGGTTCAGCGCCGGACTGTTGTGCGGGAGGTCGAGGATTCAAG